ATCTGCAGATTACTTTGCTGTAGCGAGTCTTTACTTATCTTTCTTTTTTCGTCTCTATGTCAGAAAATCCGGAAAAACTATAGATTGCAGAAAAAATTTGGCAGTTAATTTTATCTTGCCTTCTGCTATAGAAAAAATAGTCAATTCTTGAATAAAATTACGCCCAGCTATCAAAATATCAGCTTCGAACTCTTCGCGAAAATTCCTATCTTTACTTATCAAACAATTCAACACTTCTTCCCCTTTTCTATTAGCGCGACGACGTACAAAGTCGCATAGGCACGACAAAAATTCCTTATACGCGAATCGCAATGCTCTAGGCAAGGGACACGCGGAGATGGCCGTGACGAAGCCGAAGGGTTCGGGCGCGGAGACACCGACGTCGGAGCCGGGCTATTGCGCGACCGACGCTCTCTGGGACGCCGATTGGGACGACGCCGAGGAACTGTTCATGTACCGCCATCAACGAAGGCTGTCCGATCCCAGCGCGAATCTCAACAACTTCGTGCGCGGCGGCTGGAGAACGAAGCCTGACACGGTTGCCACCAAGGCGAGGTCGGAGAACGAGGGCCTCGACTCCATGGCGAACGGCCTCAGCGAGATCGAGGCCGGTGATGTGCGAGATGGTAATTATCAAGAACGTAACTCGCGCGAGATCGAAGAAGAGACGATTGTTACCTTACTTACTAGACCTTTGATTTTACACTCTTAGAGACCGGCTATCCATAGCTCGCATTTAGCGCTAGATGTGGTAGTTCAGAATAGCGTACAGCGTGACGTACGTGACGTTACGGAAAGTTTTAGTCTCCCGCTAAGATTTGCCGCAATCATTGAGTCTAACGTCCAACGAGACGGCTCGTCATCATTATCCTTTCATTCCTTTTCGTTGTTTACTGTCAGAAATGCCTTCTTTCTTAATTTGCAATAATTTGCTCTTATCAATCATTTTCTCTTTGTTCACCGTGAGAAAACGATGCCAACGATATTATTATGATTATTTTCGTTACATTGTTATGTGAGATTCGGAGAGAGCGCGACAGCGCCAAACGGTAGATGCGGGATATGGATACGCGCTTTATAATATCTTTCTCTTCTCAATGTATTTCGTTCGCATCCACTCTCGGTCTGCTCGGCATGCTCCTGTGTTGTATCTGTGTGATGCACAATTGTCTTGGATGTTATCTCAGGCATATAGATCTCCTTATCTCGGCAAGTGACACTTTCTTTTCCTAATGCTGGTAACTCTGCATATAGACTCGAGGCTGACGGATCGGAAAAGCACTCCCTCCCGGAGGTGTGGAACGTGGTCGCGTTCGTAGCGCGATAGAGAGCGAACGCATGCACACGTTACTAAACGTTAGTTCTCCACCTCGGGCTCGCGTCCCACCATCTATCTGTCTGCTTCCTTCTCGCGCGAATGGCGCGGCTCGTCGCGCCGCGATAGAGAGACTCAACTTAGATATCAGGTTATCGTCGGCGACAGTTTCCGAAATGCCTCTTTAGATCTACTTCAGCGTCTGGGACGCCGAAATTTCTCAGGGGCGTCGTGGGCAATGTGCTAACGAGAGCAAAACTGTAGCAGTAGCACGATGTGATTGCGAAATTAGACGATATGTGGGAGAAATAGAAATACACCGAGAAAAGAACAGACCACTTACCAACCACTATAAACCATCATCACAACTACTACCACCACCATTACCACCACCTGCACCACCACCACCACCACCACCACCACCACCGCCACCACTACCACCATCACCACCATCACACGTTAACATCCGACGATTCGCGAGGTCGCGTGTACCGAGAAAGGCGAACGGGAGAGCAAAAAGAACGAGCGAAAGTGTTGTATCTTCTTGTGTCTAATCAGTGGCACGTGCCATGCCGGCTCTTTCCTTTGTAGCCGATGTACAGGATAGCAGCTGGGGCGGCCGGGGCTCACCGGGAAATCGTAGGAGTCCCTGCTCGCTTCGTCGACGAAGATCGCCTCAGCTGTCGGCCCGACAGCAACAACAACAACAACAACTAGTACAACAACAAGTACAACAACAACAACAACAACAACAACCCGTCCACAAGCAACGTAATGCTCGGGAACGACCCGGGAATGAGAATTCGCCGATTCGCAAGGAGATCTATCGCGAGACACACGGTGAGTGTGCTCGTTCGCGCTAAAAACGATCAGTCCGCGTCTCTCCTGTCTCTGCTCTGACAACGCTCTCGCTATTGCGACCGGTAGAACACTCTCTGTTCGATAGAACTTTCCTTCCTGAAGCGTCATGTCGCGTTCGACCAAGCTTCGACGGACACAAATAAGCTGTCAACTCGAACTTATTCTTCTAAAGGTGTTCAGAATGTCAAAACGACTTTGTTCTTTGATTATTCTGTCTGTCGAGATTCGAGCGAAGCAATGAGTGAGATGCCAAAGAGCTATCTTACGTTGCCGTCAATGCCTAAATAAACAGAACCGCAGCCGCAACGTTGGCAAAGCGCAAGGAGACCGGGGACACGATCGTTTGTAGTCGCGAGACGGGTGCAATCGCCGTCAAATGACGACGTGGTTCTCGCGGCAGGTTTCCACAACCAGCACAATCAGCAGAATCACCAGCACCACCATATAGAAGTGGGCAGCGAGATCTTAGTGCCGGCCGGCGCGTGCCTGACGGACGACAACGTCCGGCAGAAGCTAGACTCGGGCGCCATATTGGTGCACGGTAAGGAGGAACTGCCGCTGGGCTACGACGTGGCGACCACGGAGGACAATAACCGGAAGCGACGGCCGTACAGCGCCGGCCACCTGCTCAACCACGAGCACCGGCTGAACGGCTTGGAGAACGACGACGAGGAGCGCCGGCGGCTCAGCGACGATGAGCTCCTCAGGGTGAGGCGCGCCGACGGACGGCGCCGCCTACGGTCCGCCGGCTCCGATCACGAGGACTACGCGAACAACGGTCTGAACAAGAACGACGAGCCGATCAGAGACAAAAACGCGAACGCTCGCGTGACGCGCGCTAATAGCGATGTGGCCGCGCGCAGGCAGAGCGCCACGTTGCCCCGAAGACGACGCAGACGAGCGCTGTCCGGCAGCTTCGCGGGCAACCCGTTGCCACCGCACCGGGTCACACCCGACGGCACCGCGATCTACTACTGGTGCGAGCTCCCGCGCCGCCCCGGCTCACAGGGTAAATTAATCTCAACCCTGACAACCCCGACAAAAAACGACTCTTTCTCTCTGTCTTTCTGTCTCGCCCACCCACCTCCTCAGCCTACCTCCTTCCTAATTCCGATAACAGCAACCCGGAGACTATCGCTTCTATTCTAACCGACTCGCTGTGCGTAAACGTGTGCGTAGATGTGTGCGTAGACCCGAACCCAAAGCGCTCCGCACGACGTGCTCAATGACTGTGTTTATGGGATGGTGAAACGGGTATTTGTCGTGGTTGTGGTCGCTTTTCGTCCCGGAGTGAGAGCGAGGGTGGTGGCGATGGTGGTGGTTCGCCGGACGGCAGCATGACTGTCGGAAGCGTTTGCAGTCATTCGTAGAAAGCACCGCGCTCGGCCAAGCGACTGCCGCACCTGACAATGCGATCATTCTCGGCCGAGTTTCCAATTTCACCACCGGCAATAAGCATAGTCATCGAAAGTAGGTAGATTGAATTAGCTCGCTTCGTGGACAGTGACGTTCATTTTCAGCTTTTAGTATCGTAACAGATACAGCGCACTTAGATATCGGCTTTCCCCGAAGTAAGTGGCTACCACTTCACGACTCGCTTTCAGCAGCCAGTAAGGATCCGCTTCTGCGACTGTGTCTATGTGCGTGCGATCCGCATTTAAGCAGACAAGGTTGATCGTGGTTAAACTAACGGAGAAGCTAACACGCTCCTTGCGACACTCTCGATGCGCATTCATGTATGTCTCTCGCACTCTGTCTGCCGCTCTTTTGCACACGCATTTTTTCACATCTAGTCTGTCTATCGTATCGCTCGAACTCTTGCGTAACGTCGCTCATTTTACTCAACTGCGGCTCTAACGTCTTGACCTTGAAGATGCACTTGATCCCACGACTTTCAGTTTCGTCCGTCTGTCTGAATTTCTGTGTCTCGCCGTTGACATTCGATGTTCGTCCCATACGCAAAAGATAGAAACGACTTTGTCGGTTTCCGAACGCTCCGAATCGTTCCAGGATGTACATAGTCCGACGTAAGATTCGGAATACTTCGTGATAACGAGCATCGTTTTCTTCTCGCCAGAGCTGGACGACGGTGCGTACAACCCGCTCTGGACGATGCGCGGCTTCACCCAGACCTTCCACTTCTGGAAAGAGACGAAGCGGGCGCAGTCGGTACCTCTGAACGCTTTCTTAACGTACATCACGTTACCATGGTGGAGCATAGCCAAAGGTGAGGCGAAAAGTAGTTTGGAGTTTTAAAGGTTGGTTATGTCTGTCAAATAAAACAGGAGACGAAGTTATCTCAAAGAATTAACAATCTTTGCGAAGAAAATGAACAATATTGCCTTAGTATGTTCTTTTTTCTAATGACTCATAAGGACTTCCTACTTTTCTCTTGATAAGTCCTACGAGAATTCCATTTGCAAAATAACGGAACTTTTGCACCTGATGGACGAATGGCATGACGATCCAATCTGTTTCTGTTACAGACATTCTGGATCACCGGGAAGGACCTATCTTGACGTTCTAGCCAACAACATAACGTGTACTCCATTTCTGATTTCGACATTTTCCTGTCCTCTTTCTTTTTTACTTTGTACGTATGTCGACGAGATTGTGGCCCAAGAAATAACGATGTATAGATTAAGTAATAAAACGAATATTATTTGCAAGAAACGTCCGCGCATTTCGTTTGGATTTCGTTCGACGATCCCCTCTCGCCTCGCGCAATTTCCAGTCGAGCGTGTGTGCATCGTGCAATAAATTATTTGTCGATAATATATATTGTCGCGAAATCGCAGGATAGTCGTTCTAGCGAGTGCGACCGCAACTCCCTCTTTTTGCGACAATTAATCAACATTTTGCGGCCGTTAACCGCACGTCGCAATTTTGTATTTTCCGGCCTTTATAAGTGAGTGAGGAAAGAACGTTGTATTCATTAGTGACTAGAGATGTGCGAGCGTTATTGTAGATAATCTTCAGTTTCGCCTAGTCCTGCGTGCCGCAAGCTAATCATGAAGTCTTTCGCCTTGGTGTGCGCTATTGTGATCGCTTTGAGTTGTTACATCGCAGCCGACTACAGAATTCCCAATTACGATTACAATGATTTGCAGGTTGACGACATACAGAGAACAGGTATTGACCAAACATTTTTTTGAGCACATTGTCCATCATGCCGGTTTATCTCTGTACAATAAATTATAAAAGGGAGAGAGAAAGAATGTCGAGGAAAATATTACGTCTTATAATTACTTTTTTGGATATAATATAATTGGCTATAATCGTACACACGATAGACGCGTTTTGTCTCTTTGAAAACAATACTTTCGAACTCAACAGAATGCAATTATGAGATTATAAGAAAAAACGCGAAAGATGTGGAGTGTACACCGAAGGACACTCTAATAAAATTGTACCCGCCGATGGGCTATATCTTTTACCCGACTTATGCACTTGTGAAGAGATGCGACGGCTTTTGCCATGCAAGAGCAAGAACGTGCATACCAGTCGAAACCAATTTTGCAGCGGTTACCGTGAACATGTTTGGCGTAGACCACAAGTATTGTTACAACGTATCAGTCCTGGAACACACCAAGTGCAAGTAAGATCATTTCTTGTATGTTTACGCATCTCTTGGTCTGATATCTAATAATCGGAACGTAATTAACACCCCGGTAACCGACTGCATCGTCATGATATCACTGCGTTTCATCAAGTTACACGTAAAGTATTATTAGTTGCAAAATAGGAGAAAAACTCTAATGATATGCAATGGCAAATAATTTGAGAGATTGAAAACTCAGATGAATAAGAGCCAAAACAAGCTGAGAAGCTCTTGGAATGTAGAATAATATATATATATACACACATATACAGGGTATTTCCTCTAATTCGACCACTTAAAATATCTCCGTTATTTTTGATGATACGGGAAAATATTACAGGGAAAACTTGTTTGATTGGAAAGGACACATATTATGAAGAGCGAAAAATTTTTCTCGAGATCATAAAGCACAAAAAAATTTTTATATATTTATTATGTAAAAAATTTTTTTTTTTTTTTTTTTTAAGCCAATTAATTTGTCTCATTATTCTGCACAAAAAAGCATCAAGGCAAGATAATATTTTACGAAATATGAATATTTTACGAGATATTTTGTATTCTATGTCAAAATGCTGGAAATTTCAAGTGTTATTACTCGAAAAGTTCTTAATGAAAAAATATTTTATTATAGTGTTTTGAAAAGCTCTCGAGATAAGCTATAAGAATATGTAATAATATATGGGCTATTCCATTTAAAAAAATCGCGGTGACCTCGAAATCTCAAAAACTATGACCTCGAGAAAAATTTTTCGCTCGTCATAATATGTGTCTCTTCCAATCGAACAAGTTTTCCCTGTAGTATTTTCCCGTATCATCAAAAACAACGGAGATATTTTAAATGGTCGAGTTAGAGGAAACACCCTGTATATAAATGTCCTCTCTTTTCAATGTCAATACATATAAATACATAAAACCGTTTCGATTCCGCTTTGGACTATCTTCAGCTAATATTAAATGTAAACAAATAAAACTCTTTATACACGCCGACCGATATACATTGCAATCAAAATAACAAAGGTAAAATCGAAATGATAAATGTAAGGAGAGATATTCTATTTCGTAAGAGAATTGAGAATTGAGAATTTTAATGATGTACAGTTGCAAATAACTTCGCTACATTTAATATTAGCTGGTTGATAATATTACATGGTCGAAAGCGGAATCAAAAAGTGTATTTATGTATACTTACATGATATAAAAAAGAAAAGTTATTATTAGTTCCAAGATCAGCTCTTGTTTAGGCTCCCACCCATTTAAATTTCCAATCTTTAAACTATTATTATAATCATTATTATACCATTAATTGCATTTATCATTAATTTGCCATTTATTTGCCGTTTTTTTAGCAAGTTGAGCAATCAGTGAAAATCAACGCGGCAGTCTGTGTATTAATATCTCGAAAGACACAAGATTTCCGGTGTAACACTGTAAAAAGTTGCATGTTTTCGCGTCATTTGCTTATCTGTGCTTTGAATTATTTGCGACAATGTTCACCTCGAATTTCCGTTCCTTCTCGCAATAAAATGTCCGGTTCGGTCGGCAACCGCGAGTTTCGGGAGATAGAGAGTGAGAGGAAAGAGAGGGAGAGATAGGATAGAGAACTGTTGCTGAAGATGGAGGAACGGAAGTTAAATTCTGTGCTACCAGGAAATCGGTCACCGCAGAAAGCGTACTAAACCGCGTTACAAAATTATTTCATATCCGCTTAAGCGATATAATTTTAGATGCCAGTGCAAAGTGAAGGAAGAGCATTGTAATGAAAATCAAACATACTCGGAAGACGATTGCTTGTGCAAGTGCAAGCACAAAGAGGAATGCAAAATAAGCGACATGGTCTGGAAGGAGGATATGTGCAAGTGCGTTTGCGACAAGGAGGAGCCATGCGGGTCCGAACTTGTATGGGTTCCCTCAATGTGCAGGTAACGTCGCGCGCAGAGAAACGCCTTTCTTTCGATGCCGCAGATCGACAGTCTCGATTTTTAGCTCTCGATCATTCTCCTTAAGCGATTCACTTAATCCTTCTTCCACGAAGGCCCGCGATCACTTTCGCCCAACGAGCGAGAAACGGCAGCTCGGGAAACTTTTAGCACACGGCAGCCGATTTTCGACTCGAGTGACGAGCGCGAAATCTTTCCCTGTTTCAGGTGCGCCCAAGTCGTGAATATACCCATGGATCTATTCCGTAAAACTTTGCGGAGTAGTTTATTTAATACACATTATATAAATAGATTGAATGATAGAATTAAATGGAATAACAGAAATAGATGGAATAATAGAAATAGATTGAACTAATGAGAAGCTTAAAAATATAATGAGATTCCACCCAGACAATTGTGATCTTCAAGTATTTTACTCGATATCAATAACGGTGATATATATGTATCTCATCTGCAATAATTTGTACTACAGTTTGTTCGTTTACAGCAAAGTCTCAGGCGCTTTCTTTTTCCGTTGCATTCGGAATCAATGTCACGAAACAACATTAACGAACTCAGCAATCAACTTGATAACGTCGAACAATCCGCGCTTGATTGTTGTAAATAAAATAACGTTCTTAGCTTACTCTCATTAGGTATCGCTGGGATTTATTAACGAAACATATGTATTGTTCTTATAATTGACGCTTATATATATAATTATAGAAAGATAAAAAATGTATGTGTCTTTATGATCCCGTAGTAAAACTCTTCGTATAACATTCCAATGTTTCACGACGGAATTCGTCCTCTTTGCAAGACATCGAGAGACAACATTTCTCAAGTGGAACATGAGCCAACGCAGGCAACGATTTCAGATATGGCCTTTACACACACTCAATCCGCGATGACAGATGAGATGAGATATCTGAGTGCTGCTGTGTAATCGATTAAGCCACAGCGGTTAAGAAATTGACGTAGTCTCCGAAATTGCTCCAAGTGTGATCCCACAGACTCGGGTCGGCCTTGTTATCCCAAGGGAGATTCCCGGGGTAAATCGCGGTGCTATTGAACCTCTTAAGCTCGTCCTGCAGCTTTCTCATGATTGTTGGGAACCTTGAAGAGCACGCACAAGGTGACTATGGGATATAATCAGGTATACAGATGCATCATCAACGTGAAATCTATCTCACGCGAAGATGCAGGAACGTCTATGCCGTATTCTACTCACTGCTTAACGAGATTATTATCCTCGCAAGGATCCTGGTAGACGTTGAAGAGACATGGCTCTTGTAGCGGCTTGCAGATTGGCAAGCTGTCGTTTCTCGGCGGGCACTTAATCATTGCGTTCTCCCGCAGCGTCCTCACCTTTTCAGCAGTAATACCTAATCCTATACTCGCGATGGCGCGACCCGCTTCGCTGTTGATCACGCCACCCACGTCGTAGACCCATTCTCTGCCGGACGGGCCGTACCATCCGTCCCAAACTCCATTATAAGTAGATCCTGTGAGAAGATAAGCTCTTAGAGCGTCGAGTTTCACGACCAAGTGCTACGATCAAAATTGTCAATAAGTGTAATTTATTCAAAATGTTTGACATATGCAATTTAAGTTTATCATACCATAAGAAATATTCATGGTTTCAGAAATTGAAATGCAAATATCAGAATTTTGTTCATAGCGTTGCATGTCAGAGTTAATTGAATTTAATTTTTATTAAATAATTTTTTTATGTCTTTTGAGTTTTCGCTAAACTATTAAGCCAGGATTCGAACCGAGGTGTTTCGAGTCTCCGCTAAATTATTAAGCCGGGATTCAAACCAAAGTATCTTGAGTCTCCACTAAACTATTAAGTCGAGATTCTATGTTAATTTTTTTACTCGTTTATTTCATTTCACTCAAACGAGTAATCAATGACCGAAAGGAGAGAAGCAACGAATAATTGCGAATCTAGAAATAGAGTATTGCTGGATGGAATTTTTACTTTCGCGATTCTTTTACCTTGAATGAGTTTCCAGTCACCGACTGTGATAGCGGACACGCCGTAAATATCGTCGATATTATGAAGGACGCTGTCTCGCGGCGAATCAGTGTCGTCGCTGAGCGCGTTCCACAGATCCATGCCGTCGATGCTCAAATTCGACGGATTGCCACCGGCGGCTGTTATAAGTGTCGGCAGCCAGTCGGTAATGTGTAGCAGTTGCCTGCTTACTCGACCAGGTCGGACCAGTTTAGGCGACCACACCAAGCCCGTACCTCTGACACCACCTGATTATTACGAGCGATTAATCATCGATTTCACACAGTCGCAGTAGATTAAAGGACCGTCTACAATTATATAAATGTTTACAGAGCACATATTTTTTACGATAGCGCGACATGTTTGAACATTTCAGATTATTTAATGTGACACGAAGTATTAACGTTCTGAGATTTGGAGAAAAGATCGTTTATAAATCATTTATATAAGGGTGTGTTCATAAAAATCGTCGCGGCTTTAGCTAAGAATTAGTCCCGGTGGTATCTCGAGCCAATCACTATCAACCACTTATTGTTTAACCTACACGGAAAAAACAATATGATTGATCCATACAGAAATTTGATTGTGCCAACCAGATGCAATAGTAAAATACGGAACAACTATTTATGTAGTTGCTAGTAACCAAAGAGCAATGGCTGAGTTACTTATGTAAGCAGTGATAATACATAGTTAATACAAACGCGGCTCATTACGCGGAAACTACAAATATATTTATACACTCAGAACCAGTTTTCACGTGTATACATCTCTAGCTGTGCGCGCAGTGAATTGCTTTTATTTTCTAACATCGCTGCTTTGCAATATAGTATTGATTAATGCAACTATATCAATATTTAGCTTGTCTATGCAAAATGATCCCCTTACTAATTTCTGATTGTCACAACCAGATCACGCGCAACTTCATTGATGTAGTTGACACACCAAAGTAAGTAAGTCAAATCAACCATATATATAACTATCATACAAAGATATGTAGAATGATGCAGCTATTTGCTTACAACTAAATACTTTTTGTTAGGTGCACTACATCTCTTTTTTCCGTGTATCATTAATACACGGAAAAAACAATATGATTGATCCATACAGAAATTTGGTTGTGCCAACCAGATGCAATAGTAAAATACGGAACAACTATTTATGTAGTTGCTAGTAACCAAAGAGCAATGGCTGAGTTACTTATGTAAGCAGTGATAATACATAGTTAATACAAACGCGGCTCATTACGCGGCAACTACAAATGTATATTTATACACTCAGAACCAGTTTTCACGTGTATACATCTCTAGCTGTGCGCGTAGTGAATTGCTTTTATTTTCTAACATCGCTGCTTTGCAATATAGTATTGATTAATGCAACTATATCGATATTTAGCTTGTCTATGTAAAATGATCCCCTTACTAATTTCTGGTTGCCACAACCAGATCACGCGCAACTTCATTGATGTAGTTGACACACCAAAGTAAGTCAAATCAACCATACACATAACTATCATACAAAGATATGTAGAATGATGCAGCTATTTGCTTACAACTAAATACTTTTTATTAGGTGCACCACATCTCTATTTTCCGTGTAGTATCGATCAACTCATACCTTCCCAGAGAGTATTTTTGACGCCTCTCAAAGGCCAATTAGACGCAGCATTCAAATTAAATCCAGCGGCGGGTCCACCATTGTCCGTCGAGAAGATGATTATGCTATCTCGTAATATGCCTTTTTTACGCAAAGCTTCGACCACTTGACCCACCGATTTGTCCAGTTTACTCAGCATGCCTGTGGCGGAATTTCAAAGATTAGTATTAGTACTACTGCCATTAGAAAAAAGCGCACGATATTTTTATTTCAGTCATGCGATTATCCACATTTACATTTGAAGCCACGAGCACTTGATTATCACCTGCAAAACGTCTGCGATTGTAGTCGAAGATATTATCGAACTTGGCGACATCTTCGTCCGGCGCCGGAAGTGGGTTGTATGGGTTTCCGGAGTGCACAGCTGCGTGGGCCAGATATAGGAACAACGGTTCACTAGAATTGTGCTTATCGATCAGTCTCAACGCCTCCCTTGTAAAAACATCCGTTGAGTATTGTCCGTGGAGGTCCCATGCCGGTTCCATGTCTCGTCTCATATCCAGACCCCAGTAAGGCTGCATAGAAATTTCAATTTTGTATTCTCCTCTAGGCAAGACTTTGCTTGCGATTATTATAAAGTAGTTTCACGCACATGGATAACGAAGAAACTAGTAGAAGATATCAGTATTATCAAGAAATGTTAAATTATTTGAGTGCTCAATTTCCTTCTCTTTAATTTCGACAGCAGAAACATCTCTCAATGTCTTTATCTCAGTTTTATTCGAACCAAACATTTCGGTGAGTCGACACGTTTTTACCGTGCACTTAACACTAATGCATAGCACTCGCGTTACAGTCGCGCCGAATGAGCTTTTCACGCTCATCTCAAGTTGGATTAATAAATGCCGGAATTACGGCACCACGTTAAAGTTCAGCGCGACCTCAAGTGCCGTCTCCATCAAGAGGTGGGATCTCATCGTCTCCGTCATCGTCGTCTTTGTTGCGCGTTATTAAATCGAGCTAGATTTATCGTGGTACTCGGCTCACATTTTCAACGGCCGTATGATCAAAGTAGTCCTGGTGACCTGTCCAAAAGCCAGTGTGCGAGGCGAATCCCCGGTAAATCGGCGTGTACTCCTTCGTGTAAAATCCCAAATGCCATTTGCCGACGATGTGCGTGCTGTATCCAAGGTCGCGCAGATATTCCGGCAGGATCTTTTCGTGAAGCGGCAGTCCTCTAGGCTCGGCACCTTTGAGAACCTGAATTATTCATGAGATCCGAGTGTCGTGAGACCATGGAACCTCCTCCGTCTCTTATTATATTTTCCGCAAGGGATTAAATCAGTGGCTCATCAATATTTCATTAGTTGAAATAGTTATCCGCGGGGAAACACGATCTCGCGTTTTGAACGTTGTTTATTGAATGGTTAAACCGTCGAGGATGCGCACGTAATTCATTGACGAACTCGAGAATTATGGAGGAATATACGTGAATCATTCGTCAACGCGGAGTGCATGTGAATCAACCTCTGTCTATGTGCTTTTGTTTACTTCGTATGCGCGCGCGCCCGCACTTAATACACGAGCTGACGCAGTGCTCGAATAAAGTAGCAACGTCTGCCACTCGGTATGATAATTTCCAATTGAACTATCCGGGTCAACGCGACGAAAGGGCGAGCGTGTGCAATATTCACTTTATATGCCGCTGTAAGCCGAACAACAACGCTTCCGCAAGTTGATGGCTTGCAATTGTGTTCATTTATCGAAAGGTGTAAAATGACGATTGAAAATAAACGGGTCGGTTAATTGCCGTTATGTCGATCGCTCTAACGTAAAAGCTCAAAACAAAAAGATCCAGAATAAACTATATTGAGAGAAAAAATACTTGATCTAACTAAAATCATAGTTAATTTTGGCCGCAACCATATTTTTTGGTTGTTCCAACACGAAAGTGGTAGTAACAACATATATTATCATTAATATTGTAATAGAATTTAGTAAAAAAATGATTCTCTTAACTATGATTTATGGTAATTATTTCTCTATATGATTATAGTTACAAATATACTAAACTTTCTTTTCTCAGTTAGACCATTTAGACACATTTAGACCATAGATTTAGTATAGTATATAGACTGCGTATTGGGCTGAGCGGGCGTCACAGAATAGAAAGAAATAGCATGCTTTGAATCACCATTCTATCTTTTTCTAATGACACGTGATGGGGACATTCCAGCCTCTCTTTATGTTTAGAATGGGGGTTTACATTGGTTCTCCTACATAGTATGTTTCCCTCGTAGCGTCTTTATTATACACATATAAAATACTTTATACACATATAAAACACTTTATTATTACAATCGATAATTATCGATAATTATTCTGATATCCTATATTATTTTTTCTTCTTCAATTCCCTTTCGCCTTTCAATTCCCCTTCATTGCTTTCCCATTCATCTTCTTATCCCCACTATGCGTCGTTAGAAAAAGATAGAATGATAGAATGATAGATGCGTCGTTATAGAAAAAGATAAAAAGATGATCCGAAGCATGCTATCTCTTTCTATTCTGAGACGCGTTCTATTCTATTCTGTGAAACTATAGAAAACATTGAGAACACGCAGTCTATATATACTAAGTCTATGATTTAGACAGACTTTCAAGGTATTACAATCGAAGAAACAGAAACATGCTCTATAGGAGTCAGTCACTAGATATTACGGAGAGATTTGCGAGAAAAAATTCAGGCAAACGAAGGTCCGATTGCAAAATAAATTCATCTCGGAATCGTCGCAGATTCCGCTCGTTTAGACGGCGTTGTGTATCTCTCTCTCTTTCGCGTCTTTATTATTCGTTTGAACTCTTAATAGAGCGAGACAACGCGTGACGAAACGCTGAACTTGGCACTTACGCCGTGTTGCATTCCGGTGTGAATGGGATATTTGCCGGTCATCAGAGCGCTCCTGGACGGTGTGCATATCGGAGTGACATAATACCTGTCGAGCAGCAGGCCGGAGTACGCGAGGGCATCGATATTCGGCGTCGGGATCTGGCCGGAGCCGTGAAAACCAACGTCATTCCATCCCTGGCGATAGCGAAAATAAACGTCGACGTTGCCTCATGAAATAATCAAGTCGACCTGGGAACGCCGCGCTTGGATTCAGCGTTTACCTACGCTGCACACTTGTCGTTTCCAAACGTATCAAACGTAATGAATCCAAGCTGTTTTGTAAAGTCTAACTCTTTCTAACAAGGCGTACCGCGTTGCAACTTTCCTTCACTCCAAATTGATAGTTAAATAAAAAAGTAATGTGGCAAATATCATAACGTTATGTGCAAAATACAAAATTTAGGCATATTCAAAAAAATATAGATAAGCTTCGGACGTACTTTTTGTACTTTATTTTCGTGTAAAAGACAGAAGGCAAGATAACTTCAATGATATCGCTGATAAAGAGACAATACATGTATAATGTTTCACTTAAATAATCGGTTGACACAAAGTTCTATTGTTATCGTAACACACTTGACTTGGCAAACGTGATAAACGATAGTCGTCATGCTTCAACGAGAATCATGGCTTACTTTTTACACATTTACTTGTTTCTTTCTCTTATTGACTTCAAATTTACCTCTTATTCTGTTTATTCTTTTTATCTCATAAAGCATCTTTATCCTTTATTTTATCTCTTAGTTAATTAATAAACTAAAATGATTAATTAATTATTAATTAACTAAAATGATTATAAATAACGAAGTAATCAAAGACTTTGATTACAAATCAATAAAGAAAATATGAGAGCTATCAAGAGTCCTCGTATAAGAGAGCATATAAGAGCTCTTATGTTACAAGAATATTTCCTCATTGATTCCTTTATTTTGCCTTTTCTTTCTGACCGAATCTTTTCCAAGCTCTAAGATGTTTCCTTTCAAATACCGAATGTTAATTAATTAATTTATCTTATGTTACAGGAATATTTGATTCTTTTCTTTTTTGACTCAATATCCTCCAAGACGTTTCCTCCCAAATACCGAATGTTAATTAATCAATTAATTAACTGACTAATCGCGGAACGCCCAGAGGGGAGACACAACTTGCCAAGTCGTCCGCCAAGATGTAAATAATATGCGGCTGCTTCGCCGGTGTCGCGCGAGTCAGCGCGAGCAGCAGGTTCAAAAACGCCCACCACGCGACTCCAGGCGAGGACGTACGACGCATCGTGGCCCGCTGCTGCCTCTGGACCAATGCGTCGCGTGTCCCGTAGAACCGGTTTCAGATTCCACCTACGAGAATGCGACGACTGACACTGCGAGGCGCGTATGCGCGACACGATCGGTTGCACGAAACTGTCTTCTGCTCTCGGACTTCACCTCGGAGCTGTCTTTTTCCGGGCGCGCGTATAGTGGGGCGCGTCTCCCACCTTGAGGAATCCTCTTCGTTCACCTCGTCACGTCAATCTCGTTGCCGTTTATCTACGATCATTAATTCACTTGCTCGCGGTACGCTAAGTAACCGCGAAATGAGAACTGCTCCGGATACGAGGCGCTTCTTGAATTTTTCGCAGCGCGGACGGCTTATCTACGAAGTCTGCATTAAAATTCTGCACTGGATATGCTGGAATTTCCAAACGAAGTACCAATTGAATTTGTCGATTCAATTAACCGAATGGTAGAAGTAAATCAGTGCATCTCAAATATCGCGTGAAACTTAATTAACTAAAATAATTATAAATAACGAAATGATCTGACAAATCAATAAGGAAAATGTGAGGGCTATCAAGAGCCTTCATATAAAAGGGCATATGATATGCCTACGTTGATATAAGGTGCTTTATAAAACATGAAAATGAGCAAAATTAGCTTAAAATTGCAATTAGATAAGTAGTAATTAAATAAATATAAGTGGCGAATTATACGCGACGATAAAAATGTTTCCAGCGTGTACTTCAGCGAGAGAAACTCGACGGAGACTCGGCAGTAGTACAGAGACTCGTTTGTTTCTTCCTCCAGAAAAAACATTTCACAAGTTTGGATGTAATTCGCACCGCGATAATGCCATCCCGCTTTTACTGCACTGAGCTATTGCACGATGTTCCCGTGAATTATACCGTCGAGATGCTATCGCGCCGTATTGCGTGTCCCATAATTCAGATAGACGTAACAGTTAGATGCGTAATTATTTCCCCCCGAAATGTCGCGCTCCGTATCATCTTTCCCCGTCGGAAACACATAAAACACGCGTGAAAGTGCGTCGACGCGCGTGAATTTTCCTTGTCATCGCACCATCGCGTAATCACCGTGCGAATAATGGTGCAACTTCGTCGCGGAGAAATGATCGACGCATAAAAATACACGGACAATCTAGGAAAGAATTTTCTCCGCTGAAAACGTAGATGAACATATAGTAATGTATTAAATAGTGGTTTCAGGCAGATTGTCGTTCCACAATCCTTGTTTCCAGTGCATCTAAGCTAAGACTGTGAACTTGTTATAATAGCGCGCACTACTTTTTTTGCTATTTGCAAAAACAAACGATGCAAATGTGCGAGATAAAATATGCGCTAGACAAAACAAGTGATCGAGCGACAATAGCTTGGTAATGTGAAAGTACAGATTATATCGTTGCGCTGTGAATACACAGTTAAACAGTGCATAACGAGTGAAGTCAAATACCTTTCATCCTGTTCCGTCGTGTTAAAGTCCATTGTCGATGGTTAACCCGTATCACATACACGACAAATACTGGCATGCTCATTTGTCGCGTCGCGTCACGTTGAGGAAGAACGACGTCATTACGCATATGTATGTTTTTTGTATGTATTTTTTTTCGATATTAGATGCTTGTGTAATAATAAAGCGCGAGAAACTTAATGTCGCACGTTATCTTTCCGTCCAAATGGACGAAATAGCGATGATAGCGAAAATCCACGATGATAGCGAGCGATAGTTCGAAAGTGTGACAACCACCTATCTTACGTGCGATCGATCGATTACACCGGCAAAAAGAACGGCAGGTATTTATTCCCGGAAAGTAAAATTCTAAGGCCGACTGACATTTGACTATTTTGCAACAGAATGTTCGCAGCTGTCCATCGTGTGGGAACCTTCTGATCGAAAAAGTTTGATGTAATCGTAAGGAGAAAGCATTTGAAAGCAACATGTCGAAAGTATCTCTCTGTGTTCTCCTCCCATTATTAATCGTGAGCGTTGCGTCGTTGAAGAAGAAGCTTCATTTTAGCGACGTGGTCGACTCAACGGTGAGTTACATTTTCAAGAAGTAATTTCAAATAACGATCAACAGTGCCAGTCAAATCATATTGCAGCCGGTTCTCCAGTTTGACACTCCACAGAAACATCTCGATTGGTTTTTCTTTCAAACATTTTTAGATATGGGGTGTATTAATACATAATACTTACATTTATATCACTTATAATTAAGAATAATGTATTATACGAGTTTTATGCTTTTATTTTGAACAATATTTGTATTTTATTCTCGACAACAATTCTCTTGTTTGAAAAATATCAATTTACATCTCGCTGCGTCTCTAAACAGAGAGAAGACAAATAATGTTAGCAGTCACTAAGACCGCGTTTGTATCATCGTCGGAAATCATTAGAATCTATAAAAACACCAGCTCAAAAATATTCCAATTATATTTTTGAAATGCACACTATTTTTTATTCAATCATTTAGAAAAATATTTCCTCTTACTATAGACATTATATTCTGTTTTCTTCGTAGATCTCGATTCTAAGCAAATGCATACTACCGGAAATCGCCGAAGAAACTTTATTGCTAGGCGGGGAATACAATGATTTCCTGAAACGAGCGCTCTTCAATATTAAACCGGTAGCTCTGATAGCGGAGTCGAAGCGTAGCGCTCTCGACAACTTTGCCAGGACGAAGTATTCCTACCATCAGTATCTGAACTATCGCTTTATCCACTTCTTGCGAAAGGTGCACCGTTTCGTACTGGTGACATCCTCGCAGCCGCTCTTGCGATCTGTTTTGCAGGTAAAAGAACTCGAGATCTTTTTATCTTTATTAGTTAAATAAGATATTAGAATCGATATTTTCACCTCATCAACCTTCCATATCGTAGAGAACAAAAGATTCTCCTTGGGCGAACGCAGACGGATTTTACATCCTGATCGACAGACAGACCGCAAATCGAGGTTGTATAAACGCTCGCTCATATCTCTGGGCAGCTTGGGAATACGACTTACTCTCTGTCGTGTTCATATGCATCGATCCAGACGACGGGATTGTCCATTACACGTTTAATCCGTTCTCGAACCACACGCCGGACAGTTGGCACCAGGTGAGCGTTTTCAGAGGACGAGACGATCATCCGTGGAGAATGTTCAAGAAGAAATTCGCACACGGTATGTAATCACAAAAAAGAATTAAAAGATGACTGATCTTCCTGATTGAAACACTTATCATCCACGCGTGTTTTGTTGAGTTTCAAGAGAGTTGAATGTCCACATTGTTGCATTCAGACGGGGACATATGCAAGGACCTGCACTTCGACAGAACGACCACTCTGAACGGCTACGCGATTCGACTGAACGCGATTGAAATGCAACCGTTCTTGAAAATCAATCTCACCGAAACAGGTCTGGACTTGTTCGGCGGTGACAACAGCGAGGTCATCAAGGTGCTCTTTCATAAGCTGAAAGCGTCCCTTTTCATCGACATTCACAATGGTAGCACCTATGACCTCGGTGGCGTAGGGCCTAATGGTACTTTATGGGGCATGATGGCCGCAGTGGGCGACGGAAAGGTAGACATGGCCATGAATACCAGATCGTTGGTCGCAATGTGGAAGCTTAGGTGTGTGTTCTATCGGCAAACTGAGAAATATCGTCTTCGTCACAGAAGACTTGATCACATCAGGATATTTAACATACACACACATATAGATATGCATAATATACACACAGAGAGAACGATTTGATTGAATCAAATAAACGCTTCTTTGGAATAGTCCAAACGAATTTTTTGATTGATTTAACAAAATTTCGTTTGAAACAACAAAAATATTTATTTGCGGCTTAGTTACAAAGAAATATTTTTATTGTGTCAACCAAATAATTTATTTAGACTACTCCAAAGAAATATTTATTTGATTCAATAAATCGTTCTCTCTGTGTACACATGAAATATAATATACTATAATATAATAACTATAATAATTATAATAATTACAATAACTATGATATTACTATAACTATAATTATAATATAATAACTATAATATAATATAAACATATGAAATATAATATCTCGTTGTACAGGTACACATATCCTCACACAAGATCGGGCATTTGCGTGATATCGCAGCCGAATCAACAAATCTCGGAGTTCACCAAACTGATAACGTTTCTGCAGCTGCCAGTGATGATGGGGATTTTCATAATCTGCCTGCTCACCTACGTGATTTTCACGAGGAACGTGGGATACGTTTCTGCCGCGTTGGAGGTGATAAGACTCATGGTCTGCGTGGCAATTTTGCATCCGCCGAGAATCAGTTCCGCCCGAATCTTCTTGTGCATGGTGTTCATTCTGTTCCTGAACGTAAACTCCTTGTTTCAAAGTCGCTGGTTGTCCCTGCTCACCGTGCCGGTCTTTTACAGTACCGTCGACAGCTTCGATAGTATCAAGGTAATCAAATACTTAAAATTAAGGTGTCAAGTACTTAAAATTAAGATATTAAGTACTTAAAATTTCGCTCAAGTACTCGGTTACGCGACCAAGTCTTGACGAAACACTACGGTGGAACTTTAGCCTCCTCAAATAAATCAAATCTTTATGAACATCTTGTCTCTCTCAGTCATCGATATAAGATTATCTGGACTGTAAATGTTACACCTCGACTGTGCTGTTTCGCAGGAACATGAATACAAAATACATGGGCCGTTGGTTATGAAAGACTTCATAAACGACAACGTGCTCAAATCGCGTTACACCGTGGCGAGCTCGACCAGTGAGTGCAAGAAGTCCGTCGAGAATTCGACGGACATTGTGTGCATCGGCGACTGTTACCACCTTTATTACAGGATCCGGAATGAGGACCTGTACGAGTCAAAGAATCTGCGCGAGATGACGTTGACGTACGTCACCCGCGAGGATTGGCCATTGTACGGAAGAGTGAACCACGCTATTCAACAAATGGTGCAGTGCGGTTTGATCAACAAGTTTCGAGCCGACAGTCTCAGAAAGCTCAGGAGAACGAGAATGAAGAGAAACGCGAAGAAGAAAAGCTACAAGGTGATGTTGCTGTCGCAGTTGGCGTTCAGTTTCTACATCCTCGGTGTCGGATACAGCTGCGCCACTGTGGTCTTCGTGGCGGAAGTGCTAATTGATATATCCAATCGCAATCGAAGAGCAAGGGAAAGAAAGCAAACAGCTGGAACGGATGTTAAAGTTGTGGTGATATCAGCGTGGAATTGAAGATCCGACTTTGCATAGAATTTAAGAAACTACGTTAAGAATACTGAAAAAAGATATAATCCTATCCTTAGCGGAATTCTCTATATGTGGTTTTAAGAAGATTTCGCGAAAATCAAAAGAATAATATTGCAAAAAGAAAGAACTATAGCTGCAAGACGTTATTTCCTGTAATTTCACATTTTAAGCGAAAACCGAAAAAGTACACTGCAAAGCCAAGAATGTCATTTTAATTAAATTTCTTTTTACTACATTTCTTACCGTTTTAAGGCTCCTGGGGAGTCGCATCATCCATCTCTTTTTAATGACGTCAGAAGCGAGAAAACGCATGATAAAATTCCTGCAAAATACGTCGAGATAAACAGATATATCCACAAAACGACATTTGCGATTGATTAAGTACACCTCTAAAATACTCCGTACACTTTTCTTTTGTTCTAACAATCAACAGATAATTATAAAATAAATGTGACGTGCAATCGTCTTTTCTAACCTAATTTCCTCATTATCTTGTCATATTAATTTTCCGATTATCTATTGATTTTTAGAACAAAAGAAAAGTGTATGGAGTATTTTAGAGGTGTACTTAATCGATCGCAAATGTAGTTTTGTGGATATATCTGTTTATCTCGACGTATTTTGCAGGAATTTTTAGCATGCGTTTTCTCGCTTCTGACGTCATTAAAAAGAGATGGATGATGCGACTCCCCACGTTTAGAAAATGCGCTAATTCACACGTGTCAAACGTATTAAATGACGTGACTTGAAAACGCAAGAGAAAATGTAAGAAGAGTTTCAGCCAAGTCATACGTTTATGCGTTTAAAAATAATGCACTTGCAGAATTGATTCCTCTTCTAATGAAGAAGAATAACATTGTGCTTAGAATATTTTCCTTTTTATTCATATGTATGCTATTATAAAAAATAATAAATACCGCTATGTTGGAAGAAGAAGTACAGAAATGTCAAGCTTACCTAAACCTCATTCTATCCCTCGGCTTGATTTCGGTTTATTGATTGTCTTCCGCGAACTAGTAACGAAATATCGCGCGAACTATGTATCCCACGGGATATTCGGCTGCCGCTCTTCGCGGTAATATGTTGTTACAGCAATTCCGTCGCATTTTCCACGAAATATTGGCGCGATAATGCAAGCTTGCGCGAGTTTCCAGACGAAGTATTTTCTAGTAAGCGAATGGCGTAGAAGAGCACGTATATCCTTGCGACAAACATACGTCGGCGATTCCCGATTACTCGTCGCTGTCATTTTAGGCGCACACACAGCAGTTTCTAAATCAAAATTTCCATGACATTTGCACAATGGAAGTTTATTTTCTTCGCAACGGTCGTGAGATGTTCGCATCAGTCTTTAATATATGTGCCTACTAAAATTACGGAAAAGGATATTATGCTCCGGAGAATGGTAAGGCTTCGCTTCACTTTTTGTATTACTTCCGATCCAAGTATAATTTCTGCAATTTGCAGGGTATGATATTAAGCAGCTGCCTGGCGGACGAAATGAATTACGTCGGTCTTGTTAGAGACGCCGAAATTCCCGAAAGTTGGTCCCCCGCTTTTATGAAAAACACTCCAACGATCAGGCTGAAAGTTTCGAATCACACCGAGCTGTTTCACCCGCCGAGTATGTTCCGCAATTTCTCTCGATACGACAAACTGCACGTGTTCGTCTTGTTCATTTCGTCGCCATCGAGTCTGAGATGTCTGATCGAAAGATTAATGGGATCGATATGGTGGAATCCTTTGGCGTTTTACGCAATCGTCGATACGACCGCGGACACCTGCCAGCAGCCGGAAGCTTATCTGTCGATCGCCTGGAAGTTGGATCTCGACTCGAGCGCGTTCTTCTGCGTTGATTCCGACGAGGGATACGTGGTTTACACTTACAATCTCTACGGAAATCCAGCGCCCGGGATGTGGTACGCGGTCGAGTCTTCCATCGACAAAGGAAATAGTACTTGGGGCATGTTGAAGTACAAACTTCAAAGTATGAGTATCAGAATGTACAGCCATAGATTTTCCTCCTATAGATTTTCCTCTTTAGGGGGTTTCAAAGTGTTGGTCTCTTCTCAGTTGGCGAGATGCGTGAATTAACTTCAGCAACTAACAAGCTCGACATAAAGGAGCAAATATAAACAGTGCAGTAAAAAAACCTTAAAATTAATAAAATCATAGCTCTCACGTTGAAAACAGATTTATTATCTACATTTACGTCGGATATTTTCATTAACTTTCTAAAACTAGCAATAAGATCGTTCGAAAATTCATGAGTAGGTGAGCTGTCAGAAACTAGTATCTAGAATATCTCACACATAATCAGCAGCCGAATAATTTTAGACTGGACAACGTGTGAGAATCTACACTTCAACAAGAAGATTAAAGTAGGCGGCTACAGGATCAAATTGGTGGGTGTTGTCTCTCCTCCAAATCTCTCTTTCGACCCCAGAAAGAAGGGTTTGGATAAGTACGGAGGCTTGAACGGACTGATCCTGAAGACGCTGATCGTGAAGATGAACGCCACTATGTCGGTGAGAATGCTCGATAATAACACCAAGATTCACACGTTGCTGCAAAACGTGTCAGCCAACGAGTACGACATGCTGATGAACGCGCAATATATCTTCGACAAGCTGAATTACACGATAACCTATCCTCATTTAGATTCTGGAATAAGTACGCTCAGCAGGTGAGTCTTTGAAAATGCAATAGCTCTTGGAGCGAAATCGCTATCCTCGGAGAAAGCAGACGGGTCGCATTTTACACGGGAAAAAGTTTGATTGAATGGATCAATTTCTCGTGAAATGTGAACAATTCAGAAATTATCAGAATTCTGTTTAAGTCAACCGAAAATTTGGATAATTCAGATTGAATTCTGATAGTTTCAAACGGAATGTCTGAGTTGTTTCATCAAAAATTGATCTATTCAGCCAAAGTCTTCGTACCGAATAAAGGATAACCCAGCTAATATCCTTTTCCCAGGCCAAGCGGCTTCGACTCCAACGAGACGAAGATCCTGAAGTTCATGAATCCACGGTTGATAATCGGCATCCTGCTGGTCTCTATCGTTACCGTGTTCGTCCTAGGTGTATTGGCCGATTTAGGATTGAGCTCGGCTTGTCTTGAGGTCATACGAATCACAGTCAACTCGTCTGTCCTGCGTTTGCCTCGAAGGATACCGTTGAGGATCTACCTGACCACAGTGATCCTCCTGTTTCTGATCACCGGCTCGACCTTCCAAAGCAGCCTTTCGTCCATATTGACCTCGTCCACGTCGAAGCCCAATATCGACACCAATGCGGCGCTCAAGAGAGCCGGCTATCCCATCTACATGTTCGCCGGCTACAGGAACGCGATCCGAGACCCGGTGCTGCGATCGCGCGTCAGAGAGACGGACAGCCGGGACTGTAGTAGGTACGTCATCAAGTATCCTGACACGGTGTGTGTAGCGGATCACTTGAGGCTGATGAGGATTGCCTTCAAGAACGACCTGCACGTCTCAAAGCACCGGATAACTAATTTGTACGTGGGCTACGTGATGCGCCCTAATTTCCCGCTGGTCAAGAGGATCGGCAGGATACTGATGTCGATGTCCCAGGGCGGACTGATCGATTACTGGCAGGCGCAGACGGTGGCTGTGTACAAGAACCGATGGAAGATGAAGGAGTATGAGATGAAAACGAAGCGTTTTCGCACGATGAACATACGCGATCTGCTGTTCGTCTTTTACATCCTGCTTTTCGGACTTGGCGTCTCCGTCGTGACATTTCTGGCGGAGTTGTCGATCACGCGTTGGAGAAAATAATGGGACAGTGGCGAAAACGAAAAGGCATGTTGAACAACATTGGATTATCGATGAGATATAAGATCTGTTCTTTTCAGCTGAACTGCCTGAACTGATGCCATAAATTAGAATGAAACAAAATATATTTGTCTCACTCTAACTTATTGCACCGATTCATCTAAAAAGGACAGACCTATAAATATCTCTGCATGATCTATCCGTAAGATTTTTATTGATTTTTTTCCTTCTCGAGTAAAGATGGGCGAGTGGTATGTCGACAGAAAAGCAAGCACCCCTGTAAATTTGGTCAATATTTTATTTATTCCATCATTTTTTAGTTTAAACAATTTGTTCATTCGGGGGATTCCACGGTACATCCCCGTAAAATGAATATGATATAGTAAATAGGTTTCTTTTTACAATTTATATATATCATGTACACAATAATAATATAATATATAACGTAATATATAATATAACATAATATATAGTATAATATATAATATAATAATCAATAAGAATACTAAACACATGATTGAAATAATTAATAATAATTATAATAATAATTATAATATATAGTACTAATGAGAGCCTAAGGCGCAAAACATAAACAAAAATAAAGAGTACACGTTATGGTGTTACCGTCCCCATTAAACGACGGCATTTATCTATGTATGTACGCATTTACAGACCGTATCAACTGCTTATACATCATCTCTCCAACATCCGCGTCTCTTTAATTTATTAATTTTAGTAAAGGCTCTCTCTCTCTCTTTCTCTCGCTCGCTTTCTCTCTTTCACTCTCTCTCTCTCTCTCTCTCAATTCGTTTTAGCTGAGATTACTATAAAATAGGTAAAAAAGCCCTGTTTCACAAAATATCTCGCAAATATATAGATATATATATGTATATGTATATGTATATATGTATATATTGTCACGGTCTTTCTCTTTCCACGTTTTATCTCCCCTGTCGCCGTTGCGTCTCTCACGTGGTTTTCGCTTTTTACCGATTTCTAGTTCGTCTTCCTCGCGTGTGTAGCGATGGTATAATAGTAGTCATAGTCGTCGAGCTGCGCTATGATTCGTCGAGAAAAATGTATTGCAACGCGGCGCGTCCCGAGCGGCGGAAGCAGAGTCGCGCGACGTGGTGAAAGACAGTATCCGGTCAGACGCGCGCGGAGCGAAACGAAAGGGAAGTCGAAGCCCTCGAGGACGACGTGCGAAAACGAAAGAAGCCGGATCTCTCGAAAGGAAGTGAACAGAAAGAGCACATTGGCAGAGAACGACTCGTCATCTCGGCACGATCTTCCTCTTGTTTGTTTCTTTTGATACAATTTATTTACAATCGCAAGTCGTACAGTGTGTTTGGCAACGTGAGTAATAAAAGGGGCTGGATAGTGTAACTATCAAGGTAGATATCGATCACTCGATATACAGAGGCGTTTGGAACGTCACGAGAGATGGAGTATTGTTACGAGTCCCTTCGCGTCCGCTACGTAAATTTTGTACTCTTCTTTCTATCCCGTCTATGCGTCAAAAGTGTAGTTCCGACGACATGATTGATAAATCCGTCGTCAAACGAAGGAAGTTCTTTCCACTTGGTATCGCGCACGATTGACGAAAAAGTGCTGACAGATCGCGACGTGTCGTATTACTCGAGCAGTGCAGTCTCCGTCGCGACAAGGAAAAGAGAAACGGTGACGAGCAACTCTCCCTCTGTAAATTACTTCCCACTGACAATCGATATCTAGAACAGAAAGTAAGCACACAGAAGAGAATCGGGTGAGGTGTAATGCACGCGAGAGAGAAAACAAAGGACCCCTTCCCGTACAGCCCGTACCTTCTCCTTTATTGAGCCGCTCGATTCGCCACGCTCGAACAAGAGAGTTTAAGTAACAATCGAAAGATCTTCCGAATAATTTTTCCTTTTTACATCGTCGGTTCGAATGGTTCGCGGGGATGGCGGTGACTCTGCCCGGGCACATTCGTGCGTCCGCGTGTACGTGTGTTTACATCTGCAATTATTTCTATGATCTCTGTCACCCCGGAAATGATGCGTGCCGATGTAATGCGTGCATGTATGTATGTATGTATATATGTATGCACGTATGTATATGTATGTACGTTTATCTGTCTGTCAGTCAGTCTGCTGCGTGTCAGCCTCCGCGCCAATAAATACGATAACTAATTAATTAATAATTAAAATAAATAAAAAGCAAGTAGGTAATTACACATATTTCATTAAGCGAGTTTGGTCTCTCCTTGGTGCGGTTGCCATTCACATGTCCTCCAACTCCTCCCCTATCATCGATCCTCCGACTAATCCTGCTCCTTCATTCACTCCTGCCTATCCTTCCTGCTATCATCTATCGCCCGGCTGTCAGTCTGTCACTAAACGACTCGTTAAGTATGTCCGGTGAACGTGTAATTAGTCGATGTAACGTGTGTACGTGTGTGTGTTTGCCGTGTACGTGTGTGTATATATATATATCTATATGTATATATGTATATATACAGGGTGTCTCGCACTAACCGCCAAATATTGAAATAGCGGGCGATAGAAGCGTGACGGAAAGTCCTTCGCCATTTTCGGATACGAGCAATAGTTAACGAATTATTAATTAATCAAGTTTCAGTGCGAGCATAGCACGGCGGACTACACACTAGTCTACCACGCTCGGGTTCGATTCCCAGAGAAAAGGAAAATTTTCGTACGCTCGCCCTCGGTAAAACCTCCGAGGCGTGGCAAAGCCTCCGAGGGTATAGGATAAAAAATATAAGGTTAAGAAATCCAAAAAAGAAAAGGAATTTGCCAGAATAGGTTTAAGATACATATAGGATAAGAAAAGTTAAATAAGGAACAAGGAAGAAAGAAGGAAAAAGAGTAGGTTAAGATACAAATAGGGGTTAAGATGCGAGAAAAGGAAAAAAAATGTAAAAAGATAAAAAGCGTAGATATAAGGAAAAGAATATACATAGAAACTTCTTGGCAAGAAAAGCTGAAGTTGGAAATAAAGATACAGATACAGAATTAATCAAGTTTCATGCTTAGCGCATTCTAATTGGCGGACCGCAGATAGTGCCGCGCGCCGAGCAAGTGCGAACTCTTGGATCAGCCTCGATATATTTTGGTCAGAGAACTGCTCTCACCGGAAGGGCAAAGCTAGTCTAGGAGGTGGGAGTTCGCGTTTCTTCGGCGCGACGCGCTATGGAGTCCGCAAATTAGAGTGTACTAAACATCAAACTCAATTGACTCGTTAATTGTTGCTCGTATTAAGGTGCCAAAGTGAGATTCTCGTCTCACAATTTCACTTCCGTTACCTGTCACTTCAATATTTGACGTGGGACACCTTGTATATCTCAGCACGTGTACCGCGTGGTAGTAATGCCAATCGGAGACGACCGCCTATCGCATATATATATATATATATATATATATATATATATATATATATATATATATATATGTATATATATATTTTGCTTGCTTGGCTCGACGATACTCTGCGTGTCACGAAAGGAGGGTAGATTCTCAGAACATTCCGTAATCGTTATCGTTCCCGTAATCGCACACCATAAAACGTAACCAGAACGTAACAAAGAGTACAAAAAAAACAGAAACCACCCTCGCGGCGGCGGCGTACACCTCGACGCGAGAGGATTCGATCGAGCCGCTCGATACGTTTGGAAGCCTACGGAGGTGACGCAAGTAACACAAATTCCACCCCCGCGACAGAATTAACAGAGGAAGGCGGGGGCGGGGGTGTCTACCCTCGCGGTCGTACGCGGAGTCCGTCCTCGTGTCGCCGTTTGGACGCGTCGCTTCGAACGCGATCGATCGAGTTCACTTGTGCATCGCTCGGTACAACCGGCGTACGATCGCCTCGCCAATCTTCGGGACATCGCCGTTAAACTACCCCATCCGTTCGCCCACTCGTCCCCCGCTCTCCCATCGTCGAATCGTTGCGCCTCGCGCAGCCACGGCGCGTCCACCGGAAATTCTCACTTTCGCGAGCGTAGCCTCAAATCTGTTCCTTTTAGTTTAAACTGGTGCGCACTGGCACGGTAAATTGGAGTGAGACAAATATGTATTTTCTTTCATTCGAACTTATTCAGACAGTTCAGCTAAACAGAACAGACCTCTCGACTCGAGATCACAACTGCGTGCTCCGAATAAGAAGAAACGATCGTCCAAAATTCTCTCTACCGCGGGTGATTAAAATCTCGCGTCCCTCCCTCTTTCTCTGTCGCGAGTAAAAACGTCTCGAATCGAGACCGTTTCGCACCTTCCGGAAATGTCAGCGTCGACGATGTCGCGACGATCATCGCGAACAGGGCGATCGACAGAGGCGAGTCGCGTTCTCGATGAGTGTTTTCGAAGAATTCTGATGACAAGACAAAGAACAATGCGGCTAATCCGTAAGGATCAACTTCCCCGTCGAGTCGACCGGTGAAACGTCGCAGTGGCTGCCCCGAAGGCGGTTTTTACTCTTTTGGCACAATCGCGATGGACAGGGGAGCTTAGCGACGGCTGAATCGCGTCTGTCTGCACTTGAGGACAAGGTAGTGATACACAATACACGTCCGTACGCGCGCGAATATAGTAAAATAAGTGTCGTATAATCATATACATCGCGTGCAATAATGTTAATTATATAATTATAATAATATATGTGTGATATAATCGTAATTAAGATTGCGTGTGTATGTTTTGTTTCTTTAATATATATATATATATATATATATATATATATATATATATATATATATATATATATGTATATATGTATATGTATATACAGGCTATTGTGTGTATATGTATATATAAATTAATATATACATATATAAATATTTTACAAGTACAGATTGGTGTCGGATTAAGAAGACCAAATAAAACGGCGCTAACTAAATCCCTCCGAGGTTTTACACACAAGATACGCGTGTATCGACACCCATCTATCGCGCAACCGCGTTTCGCTCGCACTTGTGAGCTCGCACCTCGTTTGGATCGGTAGTAGGAATAACGTACAATTCATGCGCGACGCGCGACAAGAGACCCAGGCGAGACACGACGAAGAGACAGAGGAACGTATTTGCCGGCGCGCTCCCCTATTTAAAAACGACGATGTCGATTACGCAGTGCAATGCCAGAAGAGAGTTCACGCTGGAAAGCTCATGTCGCATTATCTCTCTTTCGTCTATTTCTCTCATCCGTTCCCGACACAGAATCGTGCACGGGCCACCTGACGTACAGCAATGGCCTTGCCTTCGTCCGCCTATACATATCACTTTACTCTCTCGCTCTCTTACATTCCTCTCACTCGCATAAATACATTCGCAAAGAAAAAAAAAACGAAAAGGAAACAATAACGATATAGTCACTATCTGTAACGTAATAAGTATTGTTACAAGGTGTCCCATCTCGCGGGACATCTTTTACATAAGAATTCTTTCACCAAACATACGAATAGCAACATCGTTACTGTTATCATTATAATTGTTGTTATAATTACTATTATATTCTTATTTTATTATTATTACTATTATTATTATCATTATTATCATATTATTACTACCGATTGTAACCGCTATCATCCTCCTCTTATTTGAATAATATCATCACTGATAACAATAACAGTAACGACATTCACAATAGCTCGATACATAGCGAAGTGAGTCGCGCGACGCCAACCAATTCGCGCTGAATCACTTGCGCGATGGGTCCGTTAAAAAAAAAAAAAAAAAACTAGTATAATAGATAAGAAAACAAAACTAGATGCGAGAAATGAATCGGAAAGAATCAAACGCTTTCTTCTCAAAACCCGCGCACCAGCGATACCTTTCTCGCTTTATCTTTGGAGTTTTTACAGGAACATAGATTAGCTCGAAAGAAGACGCTCTATGCCGTATCACCGAAGAACAAAGGTAATCGATGAAGAAAATAAAAGAAACGAGGACATTTATAACTATATACAATTATCAATTTTTCGCTTATCGACCTCTTCATCTAGCCGTAAAAAAACACAAACACAAAAAACAGATATCCCCTCGCAATATCTCCTTTTCTCGATAAACTTCGCGAATTTGTAATTTGGAGTTTCGTCGAATTGCGTTTCCGTCACCGCGGATCCGCGCGCGGCCTGGCGGGAAAAAGGGCCTGATATATGTATCTGCTATAAATAGTGTCTCGAAAATATCGAAGCTCCTTAATAAACATCTTCTCTTTCTCTCGCCTTTATTCTTTTTATTATTTTTTTTTTACTTTTAGTCTCTCTCTCCCTTTTATCCTTTAGCACTCGCGAAATATAAAATTGTATCCCGTGAACCATTGGACCGCGCTTAGTAACTATATGGGCCGTCGTCATCCCGCCAATCCGCTTACACCCGCTTGCATTTCCTTTTTCTTCCTCATCTCTCAACGTCGCCGCACACCAGAACGGTGTCAGCGAACGGGACAGCACAAGTGTGCGTTTGTCGTAGCGGTTGTACGAACGGTAATTGGTCCTACGCTCTCTCGGGGAATCGCTCCTCGATTGTCCTCCGACCTAATCGGACAACGCTTATCCGTCTTGTAAAAGAGTCGAACTCGAGTCGGATATGTTAAAAGCTATGCATGATCGCGCCTCTATGATCGCGATCCTTTGGACCGTTAAGGATCCGTGAGATTCGCGCGTGGAATTTTTTCTTTTTTTTTTCTAAGAGTTGCTTTCGTCGGACAAGTATTCGTCGTCGGATTCGATTCGTCGAGAAATTTCACCGTCAAATTCAACGTTTTATCGAGAAAAGTAAATTGCCGATAGCCACTTGCGCCACTAATCGCGATGCCACTTATATCGCCGGCCGTACGTGGGAAAAGAGATGCGTTCGAAAGATGAGGCGAGTCCGATTCGCAACAAGTCGAGCGATGGAGCTGCTGTGACCGTCAGGTTCTCATCAGGATCTCTGACGCGCGTTTCTCCTCATCCTTCGGTCGTTAGTATTTTAGATACAGCCGTAAGAACGGGGACAGAACAAAGAAGCACGTCCGAGGATAACGTCGCGTGAATGTGCACGCGAACGGAACAAAGAGCGGAGAGAGTGCATATTTCTTTCTTCTTTAGAGAGAACTCTTGAAATTAATTCATCAGCGGACATTGCGTCGTGCGTTCATCCGTCACATTTCCCTGCGTATCTCTGCGTTCGTTTTTCTTTTCTCTTCGCGTGTAACTGCTTCTCTAGAGACGTTTCCTGATTCTCGATAAGATCTGTGGTAGCAAAAATTGGGGCGGGCCCGTCCACCGTAAATTGCAACAACGGCAGATCGCCCTCAAGACGGCGGCACTCTCGCAAATACCTATTTACAAAAATATACACATGAGCAACTTGCTTTATCCGTTACGCGCTTCCTATCGTCTCACGTCTACAACACGCGTACAAGAGAGCGTCCACCACCTCCCGACACGCTCTTCGTCTCCGGTGTATTTCTCTAGCTCCCTTTTTTTTTTTTATCTTTCCCACGCTTCCGTTTCGTTTCGTTAAATCGTCCTATGTATACATGTATGCTCTATGTCTGTGTTTTATTTACTTATTTTTTTTCTTTACTTCTCATCACACTAGAACCTCTACTTATTCCCCGGTTAATTCTAGGTAATGTAAATAATATGTACTTGGTTGCGTCTGTGTGTGTATGTGTGTTACTGCTTTTTCTCTGTTGCATATTAATTACTCTAGTCTAAATTACTTCCCCGTGGTCTATCTACAAAAAGAGAAAAAGAAAGAGTCGTGTCCTTCGCATGCAAACGTTTAGAAGATGTAACTACGGTGCGTCGCTCAATCTCTGTGCGTTGATCTTGTTGCTCGCGCATCTCTCCGTCGAAAGCACTCTCTAATTGCCCACATCCCTGTCTCCTTCTTTCCCTTCCCCTCCCCCCACAGTACTTGCTCTCACAAATACATCTGTCCCCCATATTACTGAAACACAGCGCCGGCACGCGGGATGTGCAACTTTTTTCCTTCATCATTAAATATACTCTTATCTTTATATTTGTAACTATGTATATATTTATATAGATATAATAAACTATAATATAATATATTAAATATGCATATCTTCTTGCATATTCGTCGCACTCGAATCGTCGAAACGAGACTCATGCTTCAGGTAACGTCGGCTGTGGCGCACCGTGAAGCGAGAACACACGGGCGTCAGTGGCACTTCTACTACCCCTTCGTGATTTCCTTACTTTTCCCTTACGCTCGGCTTTTCCCCATCCTACTTCACTTATCCCCCTCCTCTTCTTTTTAGAACCCGACTTTGTCTTCCGCCTCGCGTCGATATCTACATGCGTTTTACTTACAAAAGCGGACATTTCATAAAAATAGAGATAAATCATCGATATAGCTCGTCTATATCCTAACGCGCATCCTCGCGCATTGCTCGCATATGTCTCGATATATCGCTCCGCCTCGTAGAGAGGAGGAGGTGGTAGTGGTGGTACCGACGATTCTTCACTGCCTCGAGAGTAAGTAACACGTGCTCTAAACAAAGTGCACGAGGTTCGTTTTATGCACCTAGGTAAGATCAGCGAATTTCGCCAGTCGCTCCTCCCTCCCTCCTCTCGATCCCTTCAGGCACGCGCTTCGCAATTGACTAATATAACTTGATACTAAATTTATCTCAAAAATGCCCCGACGTCATTCAAATCGTCCGCTTACTAAGAAAGACTTTACGAATTGCTTCCTTCCCCGCCTTTTCTAGATCACCGTGATGACCCGTGATGATTATCGATTCGTCGCACCCCCGAGACCACGCTTCTCCAAGCTCTTGGAGAAAACGGCCCATGATTACGCTACATCACTGTTGCTCCCTTCCGGTTCTCGTGTCTCCGTATACTGCTGGTCGGTCGTTCGTTGCCGTTGATGACGATCGTCGTAACGTCGTGCAACTACGTGAACATGGTCGGGTAAGTAACCATGTTTTGCGGAAGGGAAGTAATGTAGTTCGGGGTAGGTGGTCGGGGGCTGTGCCACTGTGGTCAGAGAGCTCGTAACTTCTTTATACCGGCTTGAACGTAACGCACAAGATCGCGCAGCGAACTTTTCAACGTTAGAGGTCCCAGCTTCTCGTCCAGCTCAATAAAGAAATCTGAAAGAAGGAAGAAACGAGATGATTATCAGAGCATTAAATGGAATCCTTCGCGACGCATACTCCTTCGTGCCTCACACACGTACCTCTATGATTATCTGTAACCATAGCGTTTGCCTGGTCCCACAGGTCATGACAGTTCATCAGGAAACTGAAGTGATGACTCTGCTTCGCCATCGCGTTATGAACGGACAGTGGCACGCTGACAAATGGGACTGCTGGTTGATTCTGGTTTTGGTTCTGATTCTGATTCTGCTGGTTCTGCTGATTCTGCTGATTCTGCTGATTCTGTTGGTTCTGTTGCGCGCCTCGATTGGCCAGTTCGCCGCTGCTGTATCCAGAACTTTGACTGCCGACAGACCCTACTGAACTGGCAGGCGATGGTGTGGGCGACAAGGAAGGGGTCGCCTGTCCTTCTTGTTGTCCCTGCGGCGTCTGAGCCGATGGCGGCTACCAGAGAAAAAAAATAGTACAACGTGAGCAATTTTCGTCAATTACATGGACGGATATATGCCGTTGTTGCGGAGGAAATAATCGTGACAGTGCACGGCAAAGTCTCGCTTTGATCTTTACTGCGATTGTTTGCGGATCTCGGTGTAATTAGTCGCAGGTTCACTCACCTTCTGTTGGTACTCGTTGATTATCTTTTGGTACTCCTTCATGTCTTGTTTGCGCATCTTGAAGAGTTTCAAGTATATGAGGGACTGGCACCAGAGACTGTGAAAAAGAGACAAGTAGGAATCGTGAATTTAGCTGAGACGCAAGAGTTGTTACCGGTGCAAATTTGGAGAACCCTTGAGAAGAGGGGATACACTCACCTCAGGATGGCCAACTTGTTGTGTATACTGTTCTCAGTAGTGTCATTCGGTTGGCTTTTAAATTTCGACGAGATGTATCTGCAGAACGGAGGAAAGATCGGAGATCAGTTTAATTACTCTCTCCCTTTCTTCTCATCGCCCTGATACGTACGCTTAATTGGAGATGTACTCACTTGATGAGACTAAGAGTATCCTTGTACATGGTGAAGGACGCTCTTTCTGTGACAGGGTCCGACTCCATAGCGTGGCCAGTCAGCAGAAAGTATAGAACAGCCTCCAGGTACAACATGCCCTGGGCCGTAAGCTCGCACTCTGTGTCGGCGCTATGCTTTAGTCGTTTAGCTTCGGTCAGGTACTGGTTCTGGTCCCTGAGACACGAATCGTGCATACTTTACAGAAATATTTTCAAGATTTAAAGTCTCAAGAAAATGCAAACATACTTTTTTACCTTTAAAATATTACACTAGAAAATATTAAAAAAAAAAAAAGCTCACCTCTCCTGGTCCTCCAAGACATCATTCTGTGTATTGAAATAAGAATAGTAGACGCGCTGCAACGGCGCCGGTGGTGGCAACAAACTCATATTTTGTTTTTCGTCCCTTTCGTGATTCGTCGGCTGAATATCACTCTGCTAAGCAACAATCAAATTAGAGCTCGCAAAATGGCTTACTATTGTCTAAATCATAATTGCATGACAATGAAATTGTTTAAAACAAAAATTATAAACGGCAAATCTATGACAATTCTATACTGAGACATGTGAAGGAAACGCTCTCTTCTGTCTGAAATCTTACAAAAATCCATACCTGACTTGATGAAGATCTGGATGGTTGACCGTCCTTTTCAGGATGCTCTCTTTTTCTCTTTTTCCTGTCACGCTCAGACGAGCTTTTCGCTTTCGTGTCCGCACACACAGTACTTAAAGTTATAGAACCACAACTCGGAATATGTTTTCTTTTGAGCGCGTTACCACCAATACTGGCACCACTAGCACCACCAGCACCACCGAGCAAAGCACCGCCGCTCTTTGAGTCCGACGATATCAGCTCGGTCGTGATCACAGTACGAGTCCTGACATCACCGTCACCCAGCAGCCCATCGGTGTGGTGAATAACCTGCTGGGGTGACGACGTGTCGACGATCTCACCCTCCTCCGGTGTGGGTGGTCTCGGTTGCGTCGCCAAGTTGGAAGCCTGCCTCGAAGACGGCCTGGTATTGGGCAATTCGGTACGCTGCCTGAGTTCCTGACCCCTCGATAATTGCGACACGCAATTCTGCGGTAGTTTGTTGAGATCGATTTTGCATATCAGTCGTGGTACGCCGTTCACGCCGTAGGTAAGCGGCGGGAACGAATGTACGACGCTGCCGGATGATGTACGCGACGACGGCCTCTTGTACGGGCTGTCCCCGCCGGTCGGTGTGTTCACCGAGCTGGTGTATTCCTCCACGTAGATACCGCATTTGCCACCACCTTTACCACCTTTTCCACCCTTACCGCCACCTTTACCGCCACCTTTCGACGATGAGAAGAGCTTACGCAGCGTGTCACTCTTCTTTTTGTCCTGTACGTTACCAGCGTCCTCCTCTTGTAGCTTGGGAGCATGGCTGTTGTCACTGTCTGACAGGTTGTCCAATGACGTCGCCCTGGTGAGAGGCGCTCGAGGTCTGGGTGGGACTCTATCATATACATTACTGTTATACTAAATTATATAATTATATATAATAATATGCATAATTACTTTTTTCCTTCCTTCATTATAAATGTTATACATTCTTTTAAATTTTTTTTTTGCAATTTTACATCATCTCCTGTTCTATTCAAAATTTCGCGAGGAAAAACAATTGATAGTATTCACATTAAGGTAATTACGACAAGAAAAACTTACCGAGCCACCTGTTTGCGATTACTCCTTGTGGACATCTCGGACTCGCTCTCAGTATCCGAGTCACCGTTGTTCATTCTGGACCTTGGTCTTCTATTCGGTTTGGCCTTGGTCGAACTCTTTCTCTTGTCTTGCTTCTTCGGGGAATCCGTCAGCTTGTTCCTTTTGACGGCGACTCCTCTCCATCGCGCGGACTCGTTCTCGGAGGCACTATTGTTGTTCTTTCGGTTTGATGTGTCATCTTCGCTGGACGACAAGCTCAGTCTGCTTCTCTTTGCTGCTCCCACGACCGGCACGTTGTTCTGATGATCACTGATGGAACCGCTGGACACACCCTGGGATCTCGTGTCACTGTCACTTTCATCGTCGCTCGTGTGTAACGTCGCCTTCGACTTGGGTTGCTTTTTCTTAACGGAGTTGTTGTTGTTGTTGACAACTCTCGTCCTGCTGCGCGATGGTTTGCTGCTCTTCAGGCTCTCATCTGACGCGCGCTCGTTGCGCTTCGGGCTCTTGATGGATTTTCTGGGCCGGCCGCGTTTTTTGTTATCGGTGACCTTCGTCGCATTCTCTGTCTGCGATCGATTGCCCTCGGCCAGCTGACTCTTGCCCTGATCGGACTGATGGTCGCTATCGCTCAGAAGGCTTATCATCGTCGCGTTGTGAGTTCTCTTTAAGGCCTCGTCTAGTTTCCAGTCGTGGGGTTGTTCTCTATGCGGTCTGGTCTCCTTCGTCGCCTCGGGAGTACCTTCTCGCCTGGCGTTGTCCTGTAAAGAAAAAACCAAATGAGTGTTGAAAGACTTTGAAGAAGACTTTGTAGAAGAGACTCCATACATTTCTGCGACTTTCTAGAGACGTTTTCCTTGTCTCAAAGATATCACAAGCATTCTATCTGCTCGACACGCCACCTTACCTGGGCGGGTTTAGTCTCAGGATTCTGTTCTCCATGCTGCACCGAAGCAGGGTTCTTGTTGAAGAAGGAACTGAGATCCCAGCGACGCTTTGACTCCTCCACGGCAGGCGGTGGTTCCTCCACGAGATTATCCAGCTTCGGTGACACCGACGGTGGCGTCGACGGTCCCTTGGCCGGCTGTGTCGCCGACCTGTCGTCGTCATCCTCGGAATCGTCGCTGCTGTCCGAGCCGGAATCCGAGCCGGAGTCCGAGCTCGAGCTGGCGCTTCCGGAACTCGGCGGCGCCTGACCGGGTGGACTGGGTGGTCTCTGGTGATGGTTCGCCAGGTTTGCCGGTGGCGAGCATTTGGGCGGCAGAGTGTCAGCCGCTGGAGGGGACAACGTTACTTCCGGAATCGTCGTCGTCGCCGCTACTTGCTTCGGGGATGACAGGTACCGGTGTGGGCTGAGTTGTGCCGGTGACATACGCATGGGTGATATTCCCATGGGCGACATAGGCGCCACAGGCGGCGGCGGCGCCGGTGTCATCGCCAGCATTACCGGCGGTGCCAGTCTATAATAGAAATCAAAGCATGCACAAATTCCACCATGTCGAAATTCAAAATAGAGAGAGAGGGAGCACACTGAAAACCATAGAAGAATGATAGAATCAATCTCTTGACTTCTTGCGTTAGTGTTATAATTAATATTAGAGATTAATAATATATTAGATCTATTATATATTAGGCAATGTTAGATATTAGGTTAATATTTATATCAGAGAATCGTTAATGTTGATTCTACACATTGAGAGAGAATAGTGGAGAGAGATAGGTATATCATATCGGTGCGAAAGGTTTGCCATGTGTCTGCTAAATAAAAAGAAAAAAAAACGAGATTATTCAATCTCGAAGGATCAATATTTTTCGCGAGTAAAATGAACAACACTGATTTCCAAACTTCTTCCTGAGAGAATATAATTGTAAGATGACGAATCTTTTGCACCTAATATGTGTTTGTGCGACGCGAGTAATGCAAGTCGATCACTTACTTGACCGAAAGGTCTGGGCTCCTGTTTTCTCTCGGCGTTCTCGTCGATATTTCCTGGGAACAAGAAAGAGAGACCGCTATCAGTAATTTCCCCGTGAAACAAAGTGGAACAGTGTCTTTCTTGCCGTGGCGAGCGCTCAGTTTTTCGTCGGGCGCGACTCGATCGTATTGATTTGCGAAAGTGTTTTGCGGTGCCCGCAAGAAAACGAAACGGAGGAGCTCTCAAGGAGCGTGAGCGCAAATTGTTCGATTCTTATTTCGGAATGATAATTCGAAAAATCCAGAGCCTCTCATCGTCTTGTTACAATATCTAATTGACACTGACTTGATTGATCAATAACATACAACAATTCGTCCAATATAATGTGCGCGATAACACGCGACGTGATAAGAGATTCGGGACAACTTACCTTGTTCTCCTCATCCTCGCTGTCCTCGGACAAGCTCAGATCCTTCTCGAGATCACTGCAACAAAAAAAGGGAAGCGTTATTGATTGAGATGACATGCGTCGTCAAGTCGTGTGATGCGTAGCGAAGCGCGAACGCTGAAGTGGGACTTATATCTGTGTGTTTAACGCGATCCTTCTGGAATCACTGGAGCATCGCTCGACGAGTCGCAAAAAGTTCGCAACTAGACGCAACTGCGCGTGATCTTCAACGGCGGGATAATTCGATATCAAGAGCGAAGCGCACTCGATTAGAATCGGGACCGAGTCGAGAGAGGTGCGTGCGAAGAGTACATGCTACTGCAACCTGTGGTGCACCGCGTATTAAGGAACAATCGTTCATTGATCCTTAGAACGCGCCGTTCTTCGTTCTTGCCGCAACCGCCGCGTCGTTGTCTCTCGTCGCGTCCCATTTATTAGGGTTTCTGTTGCGTGTTCTGTCGCCGCAGCACTGTTCCCCGCATCGGGAGGGTTTGAAAGAGAAAATTCAGTGTGACTTGGAAAGCGAGAACGCTTGTGTTTTCCAACATGTCGGGCAAGATCGATGATTGAACACCCGGAGTTTCCAAATCAACAAAAAGGAAAAGACCGAAATATTTGCATTAATGTGCCGCAAACAATGTTCGCGTTGCATTTTCATATTTCAAATTATCGAGATAATTGAACAGCGGGAGGTACAACGCATGTCATTCCTCGATATCCCGTACGTTCAATGCGCGCGTGTGTGGAGCGAGTGGGTGCGCGCACGCGCGCGCTCACGTGCGTGTATTGTGTTAAATTGTATTTGAGAGACAATTTATTGCTTTTTAAGAGTGATATTAAATATATTATGGAGTTAGGGTATTAATTGCGAGTCACGTTGTTCATTATCTTCTCTCTGAATCGCTCTCTCTCTCTCTCTCTCTCTCTCTCTCTCTCTCTCTCTCTCTCTCTCTCTCTCTCTCTCTCTCGCTCTC